GTCCCGAAGCAAGCTCTGAAGTCCCGAGGATCCCAAAGAGCGTTATTCCCAAGCCGAAACTCTGCCCGGGAGGAGCCCGGTTTTTGTGAAGATCTTCCAGATCTACGGAGAAACACTACTTCTGCAAGTCGTAGTGCTACTCGATCATCTTCTGATCAAGTGAGTGTCTAGTCATTTTCTTCTAACACAGTATTATGAAGTATTTTATATGAAATACGTGTTACGTGTATACTTTGTTGATTATATGTGTGAATGTATATTCACTTTCTTCTATCTTATAGATCTGATTTATTCTCTATGAAATACGTGTGATGTGTGTGTGCCTCATCTGTTATGTGGAAAAATGTATTGATCGAGCATGCTATACAGGTTTTAAACTATGTATAAAAATGTATATTTTTATCTACTAATATGTTGGGTAGAACATGGGTAGATAGTTGGTGTGTAATAAACAAATGAGAGGCCTCGATGTTGTTGGTGTTATTCTAGTCATTCAGCAGAGTATAGATGACGACCACAGACTATTCTAGACAGTCCTGTGGAACACTAGCAGGCTCATAACCTGTAGGTGTTGTGAACGACGTGTTCACCGGTGTACTCTGTCCCGATGAAAATCCTAAATTAAGTTCCTTATAATAGATGTCATTTTAGGGACGTAAAGTGAGGATAACGGGAATGGGTAATCGGGTTTATTGTTGATTGTTGAATTAAATATAATTATTTATTGTGGGTTGAAAACCCTACATGCTCACCAGGCTCCCAAGCCTGACCCACTCAGTTTATTTGTATTACAGGAAGTGGCACAAGGGCATAAGACTGATGAATCATCAAGTTATTTTGTTTAGAAGTCTGTATATGTATATATTTGTTGAACGACTTGTAATGTTATCGTTTATGCTTTATGGTCTGTATCGGAACATGACATCCCGATTTTTTATTATGAAATGAAATTATATTTCTTTATTAAATGTTTTGATAAAAATCTATTTTATCATGTTTTGTTTTGGGGAACAAATTCCGCATCTCTTTTAAAAGCAAAAAGATTTACTCTGAAAATGTTTAAAAAGCATAAATGAAACCGGTCTTTTCTGGCAGAGATTTTGGGGATGTCACAGGTAACGACTTGTTACCTCAGAAATGTGCCCAAGAATGAGTAGATTTCGGATCTACAATGATCTCCCGATGCTAGCCTCTTGATCTTCTAACTTCCTCCTCTTAAATTCTTCTTCCAAGCTCAATCTTCAACAATGGAGGCTCACACATACTAACTAGGGTTTCTGGAACTCAAATGGGCAGTAAAGAGGCTGAGGGTGGCTATAATGTGCTTTATATATGGCACAAACCCTGGATTATGGTTTTTCTCCCTTCAGCACCAACTCGCCGAGTCCAGCCACCGACTCGCCGAGTTGGTCACTTAACATGCATCCGGAATCGCAACCCGACTCGCCGAGTCTATCCATCGACTCGCCGAGTCGACCTTCCATACTTACACTTAGAACCCTGAACTTGTACTTCTGAACTCGGGGTGTTACATCTTCTTACCTCAATTTTCTAACACTATACAAACACCTAGACGTATTACCCATTAGATCTCTAGTTAAAACCAACAAGAATCACGGTCTGCCAAAACTTTATGTTTATGATCTTGAGGTCATTATCACCATGATGTCAGTGAAGCCCACAAAACAATGCGTTTTAAGTTATTAACAATGAACAATTTGTTGGTTTGTCTTTTACAAAGGATATAACGGAAGAAACTTTTATGGTTTCATTATGTCTTAACTGGATGTTCAAAATCTCATTTTCATTCTTTTGTGTGATCTTATGAAATTGACCCTTGTCAAGTCATTTCTTCCCAATGAGGTCCAACTCTTCTTTCATGAATTGATATTTCAATCTGAACATTTTATATATCTTTTTCCGCGTAAAACCATCACCAATATTATTTAAATTTTATTACATTAATCAATCAAGGATTTTATTAGATTGTTTTTCTCTTATGTTAACTTGCAAACATGTTTAAAAACTTAGATTACCTTTAATACTTGTGAAAATATTCCCATAGATACTTCTCTATAAGTACTCAATTTAAATTCACGGGAAGCCATACAACACTTCAATATCTCTCTTGATGTCAAAGGAAGAGAATATTTGCCCAGGATCATACTATATTTAATTCTTTATACAAAGTACCATTAATATCATGACATATCCAAAAAAAAATATCTATTTGATTCTATAGTTTTCTTTTGTACACATTTTCACTAGAATCCTCGTGGTTTTGAGTACTACCAACTTATACCAAGATTTTGTAAAGTCTGGTTTATGATTCCATTTCTTTACCCATAAGTGGATGAAGCCTAACATAAGTTGTGCTTACTATTGAAGTTTTTTACATGTTTGATACTCAAGCAATTGATGTTCCATTTTTACAGAGAATATGATGTGACCATTGTGTAGTAAGTGACAGATTACTATTGATTTATCTTTGTTCAAGGGAAAGCACTCCTGAATTTTTTGTGTGGCATATAGAGATGATGTATCTTCAATTTCTTACTTTACATGTGGTAGTTTCCTATTGGTGATCAATTCAAATTCAAAATTCACGCCATTTTTAGAGATCTTGATGATTCTTATTCAATTTTACTGATCTCCTGAATGTCTTTTAAAGAACCCTAACCCTAATCCTTCACGTTCTCTACAAAAATTGTTTTGCTAGATTCATCATCATGTCATAAGTAGATCAGTTCAATACTACTGACAAAGTAACCTCTATTCCGCATATGCAAATCCAATCCAACAACGTCTTGTTTAATCCAGATATTAATACTTATCTAGAAGAACTCCAAATGCTCGTTGAGTGTTTGAATGCTTTTGTTCTTCATCATGCATTGATTTCTTCTTTTTCCATACTGATGTAGTGGTTATCATTGGCATGTTCAACTGTTGTTTACAACAAGGATCATGAACTTGTTACATTTCAAATGGAAACGAAAAGGAAAATGAATTTGAAAAAGAATAAAGTCACTAAGATTTTGAAGTTGGAATCAGTAGGTTTGTTTGAAACTCTAACGCTTGAACAAATCATTGATATGATGAATGAAATGGGATATTATCCTCCTCTTACTTTTATCAGTGTTTCCAGACATCCGAATTACATTTTATATGGTGTTTTTTCTTTAGAGTAATCATTTGTTGCCTAACTGAGGGGAATTTTGGACTCAATAGGGCAAAGCTTCAACTATATTATGTTTTAGCGGCCTTATATTACAATATGAAGGTGGATTATGCTTCATTGCTATGGTAAAAGTTTACCACATATGTTAATCATTCAAAGAAAGCTACTGAGATTGCAAGTGCTCGGTTTTGGAGATTAGTACTTATTGAAGCATATCGACAAGCAAGAATTCAAGTTCCAAAAGGATTTGAAGTTGTCGTGTTTTCTCATTTACAAATTCCTAAATGTTTGCTTGATAATCCTAAGGATTTTCGTATTATTAGAAGGATACCTGATGCTATTCTTGAGTTAGTTCCATTATCTAATCATGTCTTGATTCGATATCATGAACTGATAGGTGATGTTCCCTAGGGACCTATACCTAAGAAGGCAAGGACTAATTCAAAGGGTGTTGTGATTCAAGAACCATCGGGTGAGGAGAAACAACCTAAGAAGCATAAAGCTATTGGTGTCTTGAAGATGATGGCTAGTAAGAAGCAAGTAACAAATCTAGTTAAGAAGAAGAAGATAGTGGTAGAAACAATTGTTCTTGGACTTACAAAAGATGAGGAAACTGACACGGAAAATATAGATATGTCGAAGGGAAAATATTCAAATTATACTCATGATGCAAATGTATATGATATAGATCATTCAATAAATGATGCATTTCACCATGATACTCCACTTGTTTCACCAAGAAAGGTTTCCACTATCAAATCTAATACAGAGGAGATACGCAATTAGGGTGTCACTATGAACACATCTAATGTGGACACAGACATCATAAAGGATGAAACGCCTTAGAGATATCCTCCACAATCAACAACAATTGTCAATCCACTCGAATTTCCTACTACCAAGTCCATTATGGAGGAGGTTAGGAATTTAGACATCCCTAAGCACACATCTCATGTGGACTCAAATGTCAATATGGGTGAGAATTTTGCAATGAAAACTTCGAAAGTTACTCCACTATGACCTACTTCGCTATTGATTACATCTATTGTTCAAACTGGTATGGTTCCAAATCATTCACCGACATTTGATGGCATTCTTTCACAACCAATCGCTACATTATTCTCTTCTCAATCTACCAATCCACAACCTGGTCTAATTCAAGATGATACTTTGAATATGCAATATAAGTAAGATAAAGGATTTGGTTTTGAAGAGTTAACATTTGATTTGGAGGAGGAAGACATTGAAGATAAAACTTTGATCTATGGAAAACAATACAAAATTCTAAACTCGAAGATGAACATGATTATACAATTTATCAATGATTTCACTGGTAATACTTCTTCATATGTTAGCAAGGAGGAACTAGTTTCTTTATTGAATTCACGTGAATCTAAATTTAAGGGTATGGTGAAAGGAGCAGTTACTGATCTTCATGATAAGCTATATCATAACTTGAAGCATGTTCAGTTTGATTTTACAAAAGTTCATTATTTTTTTATGCGGAGAGGCATGATATAATTGAGAAAAATGTGTCAAAGTTCATGAAAGATATTAAAATAAAGTTTAAAGAGGTTCATGATCTTATGACTACAAAAGTCAATACAATAGATGGCTTATTCCATGGAATGTAGAAGAATATTGATGTTTTGCTAACTGCAACAAGAACTCTTATTGAAGATATTTGAGCTTTCATTGTCAAATATAAGGAAGAGTTGGAGAGGAAGAATGAAACTAATGGGAAATTGTTTAAGGTTTCGAAACTTTACTTAATACCTTTCAAGAACACATCTCTAAGGTTGAAAATACCTCGACGTATTTGATGTCTACTGAGCATGTTACTAAAGTTGTGTCTTCGATTAAATCATGTTTTAAGTATCAACTTGTAGCAATCTTGGATTTGGTACTTTGCATACCCACAAATTCTCCACGCGCTATAGAATTTCACAACGGGGAGAAAATGGTGGATCGTCGAAGGTTGGTGGTGAAGACAAATTTAAAGTTGTTAGGAAGATTTTTTCAAATCAAGTTCCAATTCCAGTTCCACTCAAACTAGCATAGACTATAGCAGCAAATACAATTTTGAGTGTAGTTGTTACTCTACATGTAGAAGTTTATGTTTCCAAGCTCCAGTCAAAGAAAATATTAACAATCAATAAAGGAGTAGGCTCTTTGATAGTCAAGCCAGCTGATACCTCGTGTAAAGACAAAAGGAAAGGTCTTGAGCCAACAGATGAAGAAAATAAGAAGATGAAAGAACTGGAAATTAAGAAGGTTAAGTAGATTAATAGCATTTTAAGATAGAAAGAGAATGTTCCCCATGGGATGAACAAAGGAGATGTAAAAAACATGGAACTACGATAGTATTAAGTCTATAGCTTTTGGAGAAGTGAATGCCTTTTAAAAGTTACCAAGAAAACTTTTGCAATAAAAAACTCACCAATTCAACAACTAGATTTTTCTTTCAATCCAAACATGTTTACGTTTTCTCAGTTCAAGCCTGAAAATAACTTCCATGAAGATGAAAACTTCAAGTTTGTAAGGATGAGATTTCATGTTGTACTTAGGAAAAAATAGGAGGAGATCTGTTTATTGAAAATAATAAGTATTATGGTGATATCAAAGGATTGTGTGTTTGAAAATCTCCTTAAAAATATAGATACAAAGTGATCCAAGCAGATCAGAGTGTTTGTGAGTTTCCTCTAGCTGATTTCCCTCTAATGAATTTAAATGGTCTCATCACCTTGGCTTATCTTATCAAATCCATGGAAGATAAAGCAGTGATTGATAAAAATAAATTTTGTGTTGGGATGTCCATATGTCATAACCATATCGATTGCTATTTAGAACATCTTGGTTTATCAGACTTCGAGATAACCAAGAAATACAACAAGCCAGGGAAGAATCCAAAGACAAAAATTGATAATGTGGATTTGGAACAGTTTGAAGATGTGAAGATAATCTTGAAACGATTAGGAGTAGTGTTTTAAGGAAAGAAGGTTAATATGAAGAAAAAGAAGCATTTCTTCTATATAGATGTGAAGGACATATATTCAAAATCAAACATGACCAACCTTTTTCATAATTGCTAAATGCAACAAAAATTTTGATGTTGATGGACAGGAGATTAGAAAGAATGTTTGTTAGTATATGGAAATCAGGAAGACGGTAATGGAAGCTGTGAAGAGACTGTCATCTGTTTTAAGACTTTATACATAATAATACTTAATACATAAATTTTTTTCTCAATGTATCAAATCATTACTTACGTAATGTGAATAGTGTTTATTTGTCAATCTTCTATATCAATAGATAAATTGAGTGGTATTACTCATGCATTTCCAAGTATAAAAACTTCAATTGCATTAAAGAGAGTGAAATATTTTATATTAGGTCTATTACATTGAGTTTTTGTGGTTGTTTAACTGATGAACATTGACCTAATTTTCCCGGTTGTCACAAATGTGAAGAGCCTAAAGGGAAGTAAGTAACTAAAACATGGAGAAGAGAATTTAATGAGGTGATTCTGACTTATTTAAATAAAATATGTTCTATATGTTTTTTGTATAAAGTGAATCATGAAATCTTTGATACTAATATAATAAGAATAGTTTAATGTAGATTCAAATACATCAAAATGTTTCGGTGAAATGTATTTTTGGAATCATCTTCTCGAACATATGAATGAGAAAAGCATTGCCAAATATCTCATTGGATAGGATTTTGGAACACATTTGACCAAAAGTATTACGATAAATGCAAGTCTAGTTTGTCAAGATAGATGATAAAACACCATTTAATAGGGTGAATGTATATCGGAGGTAGTTCACACTAATAGACCGCTCAATTTAACCACATTACATGTTAAGACCAATGTAACACCTGATTTCTTGTGTGTGGTTTATCTTTTGATCTTCATTAAGTTAGTTGCAATTTGGGGTTTTGGAGGATTGTAAAGTGGCTATTATTGGTCGTGGTGTGTATCACATAATTAAGTAGCGACGCAAACTTATGTTGGGCGCAACGTAAAGTCGTCACATCCCAAACCCTATGTTTCAGGCCATTAGCCTTATTTAATAGTGCTAACTTATAGAATTTCATCTTATTCTCCATCCTCCACCTCTAAAAGTCACATTATGAAATTGAAGAAGGTGATCAAGGTCCTCAGTGTATTACATCCTCCCAAGTGAAGTTCAACTTCTTTCTCCTTTTTGGACTCGTTGTGAGTATAACAATCCTTGATTAAGGTGTTTTATGCTAATATGAAGTTTTTAGAGGGGATTTTTGCCCTTTTTCTCCATTTAGGCTTCATGGTTTTAGGGTTTGAGCCATCATAAAACCTTGGAATGGATTAGAATGGTCTTTTGCCAATCTTGGAGAAAACGTATGTTCATGGGTTCCCTTTTGCAATATTTATTTTCATAATAGATATCATTATGCAAAATGGATAGGAGTTAGTAAAAGAAGTGATATATTACTCTGAGACGATTCTGTGGATATAAAGATTGTTAAAAACGGAGTTCGTGTGAAGAAGTTATGATGTTTAAAGTTAAAATAAATGTATGTTGCTATTTTAAGAAAGCCAACCAAAGTCAAACTCAAACTGTCAAATTGTGGGTCACCATGATGTGGCGGTGTACATTCCACGGCTTGATATAAGCATGGTCATTGGACACGTGTCGATCGAACGAGAAACATAGCGAAACCGGCGTAACCAATGTCACCACGGCGTGACGCGCCTCTTTCCATGGCATGGCGTGTCTAGAGTATAAATAATCCACATTTGTGTCATTTTGAGGGTTTTTGTGCAATCAGTAGGCCAGAGGATCGTGAGGTGTTTCTGGAGAATTATTACCGCGAAGTTGTATATGTGTACGGGGATATAAGTGTTGAATTATAGGATTTACGGAGGTATCTTTTATCTTATTTTTGTGTAAATACGTTTATGTAATGTTTTGTAGAGAATTGTTAGACCCAAGTATGTTTAATGGGATTTCATGATATGGAGTCATTACAAAATCGGTGATTAGTTAAATGGTTATTTTGAGCGCTAAGGGTTATGTATCCTAGTTTACCGATATTTGTTGATTGGGTTAATAGTTTACGAGCTTAAGTCCTTAGGTGACTATAATTGGAAATTTGATTATTTTGGTAACTAATGGTTACCAGGTTTAGTCGGTAATCAAGTAATTGATCACTATGGTTGATATAGTGGTGAGTTAAGACAAGTTCTAATTAACTTGATATATTATCTAAATAGGTATGGAAAAGAAATGGATTGGGAAGCAGTAATGATCTTGAGGTCGGAATCATAGTTTGTCTTCAGTAACTAATCGGGCGAGTAACTCACTTCTTTTCTAGATATGTATTCTCTAGATGTATGTTAATATAGTATTTCGTTGATTACAATTTAAATATTATAGTATGCTTATTGTGGATTGTTATGTTTAGTATTGGAACCCGTAAGGTTTTACTTGTAGTTTGGTATCAGATTACAGGTCAATGGCGGACTTAGTGTTTGAATGCAAGATAATGGTGGACTTAGTGTTTGAATGCTATACTTGTATATCGTTAAGAAATATGAATTGTTAATGGGTAATGGAAGTTTGGTATCAGATTACTTGTGGTGGACTTACTTGTGGATTAATATTGGTTAATACAAGATAATGGTGGACTTAGTGTTAGAATGCTATACTTGTATATCGTTAAGAAATATGAATTGTTAATGGGTAATGGACGTTCTAGTGTAGCATAACTATAGAAATGATTGGGATTATTAGTTTATGGTGGTAGCTTTTGTAGTTGTAATATCATCAATGGAGAAATACAAATCAAAGATGAACTCATTGTCTGCAACTATGTTTGAAGGATGGTTACACAAGAGTAATGGTAGTCTTGGTGAGTATAATACTATTACTGGATAAATTAGTGATTTATATAATATTAATTATTACCAAATATATTATAGAAATTAATAGTAACTAATGTAATTGTAAGTCTACTATACCTTTTGAGTAAGTGGAATGTTGATAGCATGGTTAGTGACATTGTATGTCTATTGGGTAGCAGGATGTTGTTGTATCGTTAGTGTACATATATGTATGAGACTAAAGTAGTTTTTTTATATGTAAGGTAATATGATAAATTTGTATATCATTAATGGAATTACAGCAAGAACAACATTGTATTTTAAGTCTATAAGACTGAATTTATGGTAGTTTGGTTGATTGTAATACTATTATTTGAGGAATGCAAGTCAATGGTGGATTTAGTGTTTTTAACGTTATGCTTGTAGATTATTTAGAATGAATTAGTGGTATGTTTGGTATTGTAATTACCACTATTTGGGAATCAATTGTTAATGGTATGCTTGGTGTTGTAATTACCATTGTGTACGAATTAATTGTTAATGCTATGCTTGGTGTTGTAATTACCACTGTGTACAAATTAATTGTTAGTGGTATGCTTGTGTTGGGAATACCACTGTAATGGAATAATATTAGTCAAGATAGTCTTAGTGACTATAATATCATGGACTAATATGCATGATGGTCTTGGTGACTGTAACACCACAGTATTGAGAATGAGTTATTAGTGATGGTATTGGTGACTATAATACCAACGTAGTGGGATCGGTTATTTGTAATGGTCTTAGTGACTATAACACCATTGTATTTAGTAATTATTATTCGTGGTGATCTTGGTGACTATAACACCACAGGCTTATAAGAATGTATAAACTTTTGCATGTTAGTATTATATTATGGTCAGACTTGGTGGTTGTAATATTATCATTTAAAGAATTGTAAATTATAGTAACTTTGGTGGTTGAAATACTATACTTGTGAAAGAATATATTGTTGTGAAAGTTTAAATGGCTTAAACACCAAGAAAAGAAATATTGGTTGGAGGAGTTGTAATATGCGTAGTATTGATTACTACATAGGAGAATTTGGGTGGAATTCATGGTGGCTTGCTTGATTGTAAGTCTAGTATAACTGATAAATGATAGACTTGGTATCAGTAATGTCATATCGTGTATTGATTGATTGGAAGATGCGTTAGAATTATATGCTTGAGAAGGTAATGATATATTTAGTTGTAAAATTAATTTACATCATGTTGATGTGGTTACTCGCTAAGCTCATTGTAGTTTACCGTTTTATTATGTGTGTCTTTCATGTTCAGGTAAACTTAGTAGCACAAGGTGGAATTAGTAACACCGACTTGGATTCTTTCACAAAGTTATTGTAAGATCCTCTAGATACAGATTTGTGATACGAATGTACAAAAAAATTGTAATGATTGATTTTTATAAATGAAAATATTTGGGTGTACTTTGTGTAAAAAGATATGGGTGTTACACCTTTGGGCCATGCACAAGCTCTTGACCATTTTGAGCTTATCTTGACTTAGGGCTTGAGGTTGTCAGTGTTTAAGCCTTGGATCTAGATAAAGTTGGAAAATTAATCCATTAAAACCTTTATAAACTTTTGATTTAATGGTGTGGGCTCTAGACTTAAAGGATTAAGAGCTTAGTGAATGTTGGTTGAATAACCGCTAAGTGTGACATGATCATAGAAGTGTCACGACGCGGTTCATGATGGCCAGTCCCGACTATTTTTTTTATTTATTGTTTGTGATGCGACCAAGAAGATGGTTGTGATGCATTGATCATTGACCATTTACATTGACAAAGTTGACCGATGACTTTCTGAACAGTTAGACTTTGAAGAATGAGTTGTAGACTAGGATTTGATCTCTAATTTCTATCTAGGTTGTTTGTGAGACCGTTTTCCATGTGAGTTTGCATTTGTAGTAGTGATTCCTTCAAATCTCTTACTCAAGTGAGTTATCTTACTATACTATGTGTTATAGTATATATCATATGTATGATAGTATGTACATGTGCTATAGTATGCTGATTAGAATTGTATTTTGCCTATTGATTGATTGTATGATATGTCAACATATTATGTTTGAGGAGTTA